AGAAACAAGAGTCCCTTCTGGAACTGTGTAGGAGAACACGCCTCCAGAAGAAAGCTTTTTAGAAGCTGAGCAAGGTGCGTGGGCTGAGCAGGGGTGGTCAGGGGCAACGCTTTCCAGCTGCAGCTCCTTCCCGAAGGCAGCCCTCCACCCTGGGGGGAGAGAGCAAGCTCTCACCATGCAGAACAGTTATCAGCCATGAACGTGTGTACCCTTCGGCTGGGACACAGAGCCCGCCCGAAGATTTTCCTCATGAAAATCCAAGGAATGTTTTTTAGTTCAATATCCCTGAGAAATGACTTGGAATTACTTCCACTCATCAAATAGAGAGAAAGCCCTTCTCCCCCCAGTTTCTATAAATGGAGGAAGTATGGGATCCAAAGTAAGGAGAGTCAAGTTTTAGACTCTGCCTTGAACATCTTCTTGAGGTCCCCACGTCTGTGATGCTACAGTCTGGACTGTATTCTTGCCGGCAAGGATTCACGGGGTTGTCCCACACTGACCACCATTTCACTACGCAGCAAAGAATTTTTAGAGAACAATGAGAAAGATTCATGAATACAGTGCTGCTGCCCACATAGTCCTAATTCTGAGTTTGCCACTGGATGGACATGAGTCTTGTGTTCTTCCAACTAAGTGGGAAATAAACCAAAATACTGTCTCCCAAGGGTGACTAAAATCTGCAAGGTGTATAAAAGGTGGAGATGAGGTGTCAAGGGGGGACTAGACGAAGAACCCAGAGATGGGAGACGTGCTGATTAAAAGAGGAAACAGAAGGAAGATGTAGTTAGAGCTAAAGAGATGAAAAAGATAAAGATGTCTGTGTGTGTGTTTAAAAATTTAATTTGATTTTTAGTTGATGTATAACTGACTCACAGTATTACTTTCAGTTGTACAGCATGGTAGCATAGTATTTTTATAGGCTGTGCACCATCTAAAATTATTGTAATATTATTGACCGTATTCTCTGTTTCTTATTTATTTTATAACTGGTGGCTTGTTGTGTGTGTTGTACCGAGAGGTGAGTTGCTCGCTCTAAGGGATCTAGAATGAAGACCACACACAAACCAGGCAGGAATGAGTGGCAGTTGTAGAAGTCACTCTGGTCTGGCTGGCACGGCAGCAGGGGATTAAAGCACATTCAGAAAAGGGCTGATGTGCATTCGTGGCCTGGAGGCTGAGTCCCCAGCCTGAAACTGAATCAGGAGAAGCATTGTGTGGCGCTTCCTACCCTGGGGAAGGCAGAGACTCCCACCCTGGGGAAGGTTGTGCTTCAGCACGGCTCCTGCCTCGTACGGAGGGACCACACGTGGGGAGTGAGGATGCTGTGTGCCCTGGAATGGCCTATATGTGGGCAGGTGACCGCAGCTGACCGAAAGCAATGAACAGGGAGCAAGGTGCTTAGAGGCGAATCCTGCGTGATCCCTGTTGGTCTCCAGAGGAGGCTGGGCTCTGGGAACCAAGCCTGAGGAGAATGAAGAGCGAGCTCCGGGGTGTCCCACCCCCTAATGAGTCTTTACAGTTGTATTTTTCACAGAGATCTAGATTTGTCTGAATTTGACAGGGTTTCCCTGATGTTTCACATCTTATTCATGGAAGACACTTACATTCATTATCTTCAAAGATCTTAGACAGCAGCTAGCACCTTGAATTTAGGAGATCCTTAATGAATAGTTACTGACTGAATGAATGAACTCAGTTCCCCAAAGACAAATGTGTCTTCTATTAATTAAAACAGGAGTCAGTGATGGGCCAGATACAGCCTATATTTTCTTTATGACTGCCATTTGGCAAATGAAGGACGCTCTCTAGCAATTCAAATCTCCCTCTGAGGGAAGTTTAGTAACTATCAAGATAGATCTTGGCAGCTCTCGCCTGGGGTCCCCAGGGCTCGCTAAGCATTTGAAGAGGACACTGGATATTATCTTAACAACTGGGGGGAGAACCCACTTCCAGGGGCGGGGGGGGGGTGGGGAAGCGTGGTCCTGCCTGTCGCACCCAGTGAATTCTGTAGTGCCTGGACTTCTGTCTGGAACTGGTGCCTGCAGCCAGGCTCCTTTTGCTTGGTTCAAATACCAGTTTTCTATTCCAGAGGAGGTAGAAACCTTTCTCACTGCCTTGCATGCTAGGGAAGAACTAAATGTCAAGTGGAGGGAGAGGCTGGGGGTGGGGGGGGGACTGCGAGCGCAGGGCGGAGAGTGAGAGGGTGGGAAGAGCAGACAAGGGACTGGCTGGTGTCTAACCCACAGCTGGTGTCTGGAGCTCAGCTGACAGGAGAGTGTACAACCCTGGGGACTTTGGCAACTCAACCTTCTTACTTGAAAATGACAAGAGCCTGAAGGTCACAGGCAGCTGAGCCTGAAGAGGAAACACAATATTCTGCCATCCCAGTGTTGAGGCTGGAGGATAGACCTTTGTTTGTTTGTTTGTTTTAGTTTTCTTGTTTGTTTTTTGGGAGAGATAATGCAGTTTATTTATTTATTTATTTATTTTAAGGGCAGTACTGGGGATTGAACCCAGGACCTCGTGCACGCTAAGCATGTGCTCTACCACTGAGCTATACACCCGCCGGAGTACAGTCTGAAGGAATCAGGCCTCCGAGTTTCTGGGATCTGCACTGATCAACATTTTCAACTGTTCCCTCAGTGGCATCGAGCCTGCTTTGACCTTCCCCAACTCCAGTCCATCAGATCATCCATGTCGGTTGCTCCGGAGCTGTATCACTGCACCGCAAAGTCATGTTTTGAGAAGGGGCTCTCAATTCTGCTTAAAAACATTCTTACATGCCCCCTTCTGGTTTTCATTCCTCATTGCGATTTTTCATTCTCTCTCCCTGGGGATAAGCTCTGATTCACAGATGACAATCATCTAGCACCTTTCATCTCTAGAGGACCTTTAGCTGAGTACGTGGTACGTAACTCATCTTTATAACCTCAGCGATCCCCTATAAGCGACATACTGTTCTCCTCACATGATAGACAAGAGCTCAGAGGTTAAGGTAACACCGAAATGCACGTTGGTTATGGGATCTGCCCATGTTGACATCACTCACAGGCACCTGAGCTGGGGTTCAAGCCTGTGTCCTCCGAGTGTACACCCCATTATCCAACAGGACAGTGGGAAGAAAACTGAAGCTCATAGACATAAACTCCCCCAAATTTCTTTATAGCCACCTTCAAATTTATTGCTCCTTATTGTCACTCATTGTTTATTTACTGACTAGCCCTTTTCTCCTCCAGCAGGGATAAGCTGATTCTATTTGTGCTCCTAAAAGTCCTCTCAGTTGTCCTTACATCGTCTTATCTCTTCCCATTTCTTCCCGTTTCAGTTCTCTGCAGATGGCCCTCAGATGTTTCCGTGAGCTCCGATGGCTGTTTCCAACCACCAAGTAAAGGCGTATTTCCTCAGTAACACACCTTTTTATAGATCATACACCGTCCCCCACACCTCCTCAGCTCTCTGCAAGTACCGTGTCTGCTCTGCGTTTCTTAAGCAGCCCATGGAGTCCCTGTCTCCATGCTTTGGCTCATAATGATTTGGAATGTTCTCCTTTCTCTCCTTGTAGAAATTCTATTTTTTTTTTAAGAATGAGCTTAAAAAAATGTTACACCAGCTATGAATATTTCCCCAACTCTCCCAGTCAGAATTTAACAGTATATTCTCTGTGTCCCCAAAGCACTTTGCTTATAAGAATAACACATCACTCATCACATGAGAAACTTGTCTCCATCTCTATTTCAACTTATGGGCTTTCAGCATAACGAGGACACTAAGACAGTTTATACATGTTTACACTCCTTGAAGCAATAAGCATGGACCTTGACTAAGTGTTTGTTGAATGAATGAACGAATGGTGATTCAGTTACTGCTCTGATTTTCCAACATGCCCCAGTGAGGCCATGATTTGATTTTAGGGTCATTTTTTTCCTCACCTTAAAAATCTTCACTATCATCCTGGGAATTTGTCTTGCCTGCTTTGTGAAAATTTTGAGTTTTAAATTAAAAAAAAAATTACCTGCTATATAAAAGCATGGAAAAGGAAAGGGAAAGATGCATCATTTTTCTTGTAAAAATAAACACACTACTGTCATCCAGGTGATCAGTGTTACAGAGAAGCATCCAAAAAAAATGACAGTTTATATTTGTAAATTAAAAATATAAGAGAATCAGAATTGATTCTCTTCTGTTAACAAATATTTAAGTTCACATGTAACACAACAGTACATTTCACTAGATTGGAATAATGAGTTTGGGGAAGTAGCAGGGACTGGGGGATGTTAGCCCGAATTACGGAAGTCAGATTTATTGAAAGCCACGCAGTTTTATTACTTGAATATACTATGATCTGCCAATAAAGTCTGTCTAAGGAGACATCTACTTAATGGCATGGATCCTTATTTAATAGCTGAGTCTTTTCTGTCTGAAGACCACTGTCTATGAGAAAGCCATGAGGACAATTATTCTTTATAAATAAGTTACAGTTACTCCCTTTATTTCTCTTATCAAATCCATTCCTTGGAGATAATTCAAAGGTAAATTTCATCTTAGTCTGGGTCAAATTGTCAAAAATGGTGTATTTGCAGTATCTGAATGAGGTTTTACTACATTCTTAGAGGAAGACATTTCTGGAGAATAATGAAGAGAACCCAACGGGAAGTGGTAAATACTTTTTAAAATAAAAAAATAGGAAAAATGTGAACTTTTTCAAATAAGATGAGCAATAGTTATTCATTAAGCTAGATCTAACTGAAATCTATCTTCAAAGTCTTTGGCTTCCTTTGTAAATTCCTGGAGGGCAAGGATCACGGTCTGCTTGATTCTCTCCCAACCTTCCAAGACTTTATACACCCCAACAACGCCACCGGGGCTGCGCCCTCCGGGGATGGCTGTCATTGAAAGAACAGGCGTTTAAAAGCAACGCTATGGGGGTTTCAGATAAGGCAGTTTTTGCTCTCTTTCTGTCTAACTACCTGAGACCCAAACATTATGGAGAGTTTACTCACTGATTCTGGGTAGAGGCCGCAAGTAGTGTGTAGGTCCCCATCCTAGAAAAGAAAAGAGGGAATTCATATATTACCATCACATCCAAGGACATTTAAGAACCTTTCTACATTAAACACGCTTCAAAGTCTCTGATATGTTATTTCTAGCCAAGAAAATCACGAGGAGGGAGAGGACTATGAAGCAGAGTATGTCATTCCTGTGTTTCTGGGCCGCTCAAGAGGTGACAGGCTCGGTGTGACTTATGCAGAACTCTGGCATTACCTTCAAACTTTGCCACAGAAAAGAGTGAGCTTTGTGCCTGTACCTTCTGCATCTGAGAAACAGAGCTAGAAAACATCCACCACAAGGAAGAAAAGCTCCCTGGCTTCTCTGCATCCTGCTCCACAACATGCCAAGGTATTGACATACAATTACAGTTTCTGCTTAAAACATCTGAGAACTTGGGCTAGACCTCTTTGGGTAAAAAGGATGCTCAGGGCAGGTGTGCCATGTGCATCTCCTGATGTGGCATATCTGGTGACCCATCGTTGGAGACCTCGGTTGGTAAAACTTAGAAGAGCAAATGAAATGAAATCTAGGATAAAAGAACCAAAGCTCTTTGAGGGAACGCTCCCGTGCGTATTTAAATCATCCAGAAATAACGCAGACCTGGAGGGAAGAGCTCGAACCAAGGGATCTTGGGGTTTTCCTTGCGCCAAAGATTTTTCATCTTAATAATCAAGAAGGACCCTTCTCTGCCAGATGAAGTTGCTAAATGTAACAGTATATTTCTTCTGCTTTAGTCATCTCTGGGGAGAGGTGAGCCTCAACTTACTCTGAGAACAAGTCTAGGGAATCACAAGAGGGTAAGTATATGGCTATTTAGACTTCTGCTTTCTAGATTATACTGTTACAATTCTTCCTTCAAAAACATATTACAAATACACCATATAGAATGCATATTATATACTGTACATAATACTACATATTTTATGTAATACATATTTTATTATATATTATATATTACAAGTGAAACTATATATTAATATATATCTTATCTGTGTACATGTAATGTTTTGCTCTCTGCATTGTCTTTTTCAAAATATGCTTTAATTAGTTTTTTGGGGGGAGGGTAATTAGGTTTATTTATGTAATGGAGGTACTGGGGATTCAACCCAGGACCTCGTGCATGTTAAGTATGTGCTCTACCACTGAGCTATACCCTCCCCCTCAAAATACCCCTTTCAAAGTTTGCTGAGAAAAATTTGAACAAGTACTTCAGCATGGTGAGGCTTAGCAATGGTAGGATTAATTCTCTGTCCTGCTATTCTGCTCCATTTAAGTAACCTGCTCTCAGGGTGACTCATTTATAATACTGCTTTTCTAAACCTAATTGAGACAAAAGATCCTATTGGCCCTTGCCTTTTAAATTAATCTTTCACCAAATTTCATTGGCGCTAAAATATTCCAGTTTATGCTTATGTCAGTTAAATCCTATTCTATCCTTAGAATGATTGAAGAAATATATCCAAGGGCATTTTGAGCTGCACTGTCATGAGTTTCCTGGGATAAGGGATCAGCAGCTCCACTTGATTTAGTAATTTCTGCATTTTGAATGAAGGCACTTATAAGGTCATTAGTAGAGCTCATCAATAAGTTACAGGTCCTACAGTACAATCGATCCCCACGGGTTGGAACCTGATATGTCATCCACTGCACTGACTCACTTTGATGTAATTGCAAGTCTGCATTTACTTGTTCACCCATGTAACAATAGCACGATTAAGGTCACACTTCTGTGACTTGGTGACAACAATACTGTTTAGACCAGACCCTCAAATCTTCCTCCACACAAAACTGATTTTATCCAGGACATCTCATTGTTTACGTAACCTGCCACATAACCGTGGAAGGAAATTAAACTGACATGGAAAAAAAACGGCTATTCAAAAAGTCAAATGCGGCTGCTTCTTTATCTCTGATGAAATTCTGCTAAGTCGCTTATGATTGCATGAGAAGCTGCTCTCATCAGGTATAGCCCCTCAGCTCTCAGGTTTACCAAGTCATTTCCATTAAAAAATGTGGACATGGAAGCTATTTCCCTATCCCCTGCCAGGGCTCAGCTGTGTAAAGGCTGTGCAAGGTCACCCGCCAATTTCTTTTCTTTTTTAAAAATTTACTGTAGTAAAAAACACCTAAGATCTATCTTCTTAACAAATTTTAAAATGGACAGTAAGGTGTTGTTTACTGCAAGCATGACGTAGTGCAGCAGATGGCTAGGACTCATTCATCCTGCAGGGCTGAAAGTCTATATCCGCTGAACAGCAACTCCCCATCGCCCTCTTCCCAGCCCCAGGAAACCACCATTTGCTAATTTCTCCAGGATCTCAGGAAACCTGACATTGGGGCATAATAATGAGATTATACTCCTGGACTGGATACACTCTGATGGTCTGGTTTGGCTTTCCACTCATTGCAGACTAAAGTATATCATTAGATGAACGCAAGTGTCGTACAGCATACATAGTAAACTTATTGAACACAGGGATGGGGAGGAGGGGATAGCTCAGTGGCAGAGCGCACGCTTAGCAAGCACGAGGCCAGGGGTTCAATCCCCAGTGCCTCCATCTCACACACACACGCACACACACACACAGATGATTTAGTCTTACTTCTCTTTATAATTTCCCAAAACCTAGTTTAGTGCTGTGTATAAACATATATTGAGTTAAACTGTAATATTTCTTTTCAAAGGTTAACATTAATTAATGTTAATTTTAAGGATCTGACAAAAAGACAGGAAAGTAAATACCATTTATTTTTGAATTTATGACTTGTCTCCTAAAAAAAGCCTCCCCTCTCACCTCCCAACAACAGTTAAAGTATGCACAGCCCTTTAAAGGGTCTGACTCTGTCTTCTGGCTCATGGCTATTTCTACGTACTTTTTAACATAATGACTGCCTAGGATGTGGCTCTCAGTCTGTATAATCAATATAGGCTGACTTTCTCGCTACATGACCATACATTAAATAACCGTGAACGTTCTCCCGTGGTCAGCTGTGAAATGGCTTTAAATGTCAGCAGGCAGGCTTGCTTCACATAACAGAAGTTAACTGGGTTTGTCCAGAGCCCTGAAAATTAGTAAGAGTTCAAATCTCACATCCAGAGTACGTGTCCTTATATTACACTTAGGAGATTGATATGGTATTAAAGGCTTAATTGAGTGGCACGGACAATCTGATGCAACAAGATCTTTCCCCTTCATCACATGACTTTACTCTGAGCCATTTTCGTTTTCGGTGGTAAAGCACGTATCACCTGTTGAAACTTGGCGTATCACCGTACTGAATGAATAGGTTCAGAGCTTTAATGGGAAATCAATTTTTTAAAACGTAGCATCTCACCAATCCTTTTTTCCAAGGGTTTGGGGGGTCCAAGCAGCACGAATAGCACACTGAGCCAAGCAGGGCTCACACTCAAATGAGGGAACACAGATATGACCAGAATGTACTTTCCTGAAAGTAATTCTTCTGGCCACGTGATAAATTAAGTTGGTTACCATCACCCTCACTTGACGAGAATACAAGACAGGAAAAGGCTGGACAGTTTCCTGAGGCCACGTGGCAGTTTGTCGTTAAAACTGAAATAGGGTTACATTTCATGAATTTTTTTTCTCCAGTAAATCTTTCATAAACATGAGGATCAATACCCTCTTAATTTTACATAGAGACATATTGATGCAAAAAAAGAATGTCATAGTGAGGTTTAGGTTCTTTGCTGTAAAATATTTGGCTGGATTTAAGTTTATCCCGGTATTTTATTTTGTAATATTGGTTTGGTCTAATCTTACCCTCTTTTCTCTTTTCCTCTAAAATCGCTTGGATATACACTTACTAAATCAATAATAACCACAATAACAGCTAACAGGTACTGAATCCCTATTAAGTATCAGACCTGGTGCTGAGCACTTGACGTGACCCCTGTCTAATCTACGACCAGAACAATCCCACGGGAATCTGACCTGGACTTCTGCTAATGGAATGTAACTACATGTTTCCAGTTCTTCACTTGTTAACATGAACCCCACCCACCCCCATCATCATCATCTATATTTCCTAGATTCAGTTCCATTAAAGTGCATGAGAACTCCATGACACAAAGCAGGAAGCCTCTTGAGACTTGTTTGAGGTTCTCCCTACCATTTTACCAATATATTTTCACACCTGATTCTGTAGCATTTTATTTTCAGTAACTCAACTTCGAGTCTCTCCAAAACATCTTCATAGAAATAGCAATTCTTTTAGACACCCCTATGTCATCGGTTTTATACAATTTATAATTGAATTGAGTAATTCTATGAACAAATACAGCGGGCAGAGCAGGTGTGGGAACACACACAACTGACTCGGTCCACACGCATCCCCACAGGTGGGGTCAGACGTCTCAGGTGGGCTCAAGGCACGGCAGGTGGGGGCCTGGGGGTGAGCTGGCTGGAAGCGTCCGTCAGCAGGGTACATCTCGGGAAGGGGCAGAGTTGCTGAATCAGGGACATCATTTAAGAGAAGGCCAGTTAAAAGAACTTTTGTTGTATTTGATACTTTAACTGTGTAGGCTGAACTTAAAAGATAATTAAAAAAAAAAAGAAGCAGAAGGAAAAAGAGAGTGAGTTTAGGTTCCTTGTCCAGGATTACAAAACTAGAGCTGGAGCTAGGATTTGGCTCCAGAAATCAGCCTTCCAGTCTAGCACGTCAGTGTTTCTCGCCCCCCATCCCAGGAGAGATAACTGTGGAGGCTTGGGTGGGCTGCGGCCGCCCAGGAAGGGGGTTCAAGACAGCTCAAGAGCGGTCCACAAGAGGACACAGCAACAGAAGAGGGAGGAAGCCTGAGAGCGATGAAACAGTCTTGGAACTCTGCCGAAGAAGAACCCTGATATTGAAATTAACCTTACGTTAACCCAAATATTTCTTGACCTTGGGCCTCACTGGTTCAAAACAAAAGGGGTTTTAGCAGATAAGTTCGGCCAACTATTTTCAGAACCGGTTTTTGCAACTCAAATGGAAG